ACACATCTCTATACAGATATACACAAAGGGTCGATTTCACCCTTCAATTAGGGGGACTTTAGGGTAGGGAATCCCATTAATCAGTAACTGAAGGGAGAAATGGCACCAATACAAACTCCCTTCTTTCAGTTGCATGCATATGTACAAGAAATATGCAGGTTTCTTAAAATCCATAAAGCAAGAGTGAATGGAACTGGGAGATGCTGCAAAAATACCACTGTAAAAAGAACATATAAAGCTTTCGGTCTTGACTATATATATGATGAACAAGGCTTCAAAGAGAACTACAAATTCAGGTGTACTATCAGAAGCTGTTTTGACATATTTCAAAGTACGTGATTTTTTAATATTAAAAATAAATGTGGCTGGAGCATTTAATAACAACTCTAGTTTTGACTACTTTAGACCACCAGATAATCCAGTAATGAATGTATAACAGCAAAATGGCAAACCTCAAAATATAGGAATGTTTAATTCCATATGGATCAAGTCAAGGGTAGCATATTTTCCCTATAGCCAAAATATAGGTGGAGGAGGGCAGGCTAACATCATAAATAATAGCACAAGTAAGTAATTTTTTTCTTCATTTTTGAAAATAACTGAAATCATCTGTTTTGAAATATACACGGTGAAATGATCCCACCAATTCATTAAACAAAGCAGCCCCTTGAAAAATTGGCATTTTTTTTTTTATCCAAGGCCTATAATTTTCTTAACTTCACCAAGAAAAGATGATCAAGAATATTTTCTAACTCAGGATATAAAGAAATCGTAAAAAAATAAAATAAAATAAAATAAAAGAAAAAGAAGAAGGCTCAATTGATCTCTGGTCCCAGCACCCCAACAGATAAACACAGCCCTGTCGTCTCTCTTCTATCTTTATGCTCAGAAGCCAGAGGCTGGTCTTAGAACCTGCTGTTTCTCATGTCACTTTAAAAACAGCATAATATAAGTTAAAACATTAGAATAAAATGCACATGATATCAGAGTTAGCCTTTTAACATAACATGATGAACAATTTGGTGCATTTATACAACAGAGACACTGAGAAAGCAATTCCAATACCCTCAACTAAATGAATCATATTTCTATAATACATTATTACCTTTCTCTATTTTTACTGAAGCTCACACTCATCTCTCTCACACGTGCCCCCAATGGATATTTTTGCATGTGTGGAAAAACAGACATATACATGCACACAAGTAATTTAATTCTATTTTAAAGTCACAGTGGGAATTCCTTAGTGAGGAGGGATAAAAAGATTCCTGAATAAGACACTGAGAACATCTAGATTTATTTTCTCTATTTTACTTCCCAACTTACAAAATCAACTGTAAATTAAAGAATAAATCCATAGGAAATAAAGGAGGTCTTAAAAACTTCGTTTACAAATTCCAGCTACAGTAGTTGGGAATTTTACTTGATCTATGTATTTCTATTTACCCTGTAACTAAGCTTCTAGCCATCTTAAGTGTAAACCACAGATCACTGACTGAAGAAGCATGATTCTCAACAGTTCTATGAGCGTAATTAATGGTCTAAAGGTGTTCTACATTTTGAGGCCCCAGGATATCCTTTTATTTTATATATCTGCAAGGTAGCAAAGGACAGCTATACACCTTGACACAGCGGAGATCCAGTGTAAAAAGGTGCTTCACTAGTTTGTTTTGTAAAAAAAAAAAAAAAAAAAGCTCTTATATAATTTTTTAGCTATTAAACACATAGGCAACATAACTCATTACACTCAATACAGCTTTAGTATAAAACTTATAATTTATGAGGTGATGTTAATAGCATAAATTAATATACCTTTTCTCTTAAAATCTACAATAAGTATTCTGAAAGCTCATCGGGGAAGGAGATTTTTAAATAAAAGTTTTAAAGCTGTGCATGATGGGAAAAGATTCTGTATGCTGAAGCTGAGATGAGAGGCTGAAGAAGGAAAAGTCCTATGCAAGACACTGGGCTATGAAACCAAATGTTTTCTCTTTCTTGCACTCTCCTCAATGATGAGTCACCTTTAGTTTTTTGAAAACTATTTTCTTATTTTAAAATCTGCCCTAATTTCCACATGGAATCCCTGAGATATACTCAACACTGTACAGTGAAAAAGAACTATCACTGTTGAGAGGAACTGATTCAACCCTTGCAAGCAGATGAAGACCACGCCTATCACTTCCACACTCATCGGCTGGAGCCTATGGGACCTTAAGGAGTGAAGTCATTTCAGGGCCAATCAGTCTATCCCCAACTAAAAGCAATGGCGTGGCATTTCGCTGCACTGGAGCCTTCTGCACTGCATGTTGAAAAATTTTCCAAGGGGAACTTTGGGTGCATACAGAGCTTATGTCAGTGGTCCCCAGCTTAAAGAAATAAACAAACAAAAACAAAACAAGTGAAAGGTGAGGGTCCTGTTACTCTTAGGCCAGGATCAGCATCAGTACAGACCGTGTGTGTGTATGCGTGCGTGTGTGAGTGTGCGTGCGTGTGTGTGTGCACTGCAGGACTGGGGTGGGCTGAGCAAGCAGGCAGAAAGGGAAAGGAAGGAAGGCTGTGCTGTGCTGCCCTACAGAGCTCACTAAGGGTTAGACAGGTTTTCTCTTACAAAACTAAACTTCAGGTCACCAAACACTCTGCCACTGAAAGGAGCCGAACATTCCCAGGATCCAGGGATGTAGTAGGTAAAGAAAGTCATGCCAAAGTGGCTCTCCCGCTCTGATTCCACATTCCCTTTGATTAGCTCTGTGCCCCAGTGCAGAGAGGAAAGCTAACAAACAGTAAGAGCTGGAGTGAAAGGAGAATTTTTGCCATTTGGAAATAAGGCTCTAAATCTGACCACAATCTTAGCATTAATGATACTGTTTATTAGGAGAGATGTAGTCATTCATTTATATTTTATGTTTTCTTTCCCAACTCGCTGGTCAGGGGAAAATGAGTATGTTCTTCACTGGTATTTTATTATGAATCTTTTGAATGATAGTGTTTAAAATGTCAATCTCCTAAACGTGGATTCAGGATCCCTCCCCAATATACGGGGAAACTTGTAAAGTTCAAGATATTAGGAAGTCATTAAATTGTTTTACCTTTCTGTAGAATGCCAGTGAAGATTCAATTATTTTCAATGTATTGAGAGAGTGAAAAAAATCTATGTTCTATCATATATATATTCCCACCCCCCACCCCAAGAAACATATATTTTTGTCAGGAAAAAATCCTTGGCACAACATAGGCGTTGGTGATGAAAGAGATACAAATGAAGACGGTTTGGGAGGACTTACATTTTCTTTCTGAAATTCTCAACAGGGAGTTCTGCTGACCATTTAGAAGACCATTAAACATTGAATTACTCTATATATGCCAGGCTAAAAATAGAATTTAATTGAATGTTAAAAGAAGTTTAAAAAGAAAGAGGATGAAGAAAATGCAAACTAGACACCTAAAAGTTTTTGAATGAATTTCAAACCTATTAAATAGTTTAGTGTTATTAATAGCATCATCTTTTTACAATACTAATCCACAACCTTTTGAACTAGCCTAGAGTAAGGGTGATGCCTCACAAAGACGTTGCTGATGAAGCTATCAACAATCACCACCCACAATGCACCGCACAGGAGGGACTGCAGGCAAGTGGGCGAACTGACTGCATGGGACTCCCTGCGCATGCTCAAGCTCTAGTGCCAATTGGTGAAAACTGAAAGGAACAGGTCAACAGAAATATAAATTCTTTCACATAAGAAGAGAACTGTACCGATAGGGTATTTGTGTGTAGCACAGATAATCTTTCTTTCCAAATCAAAGAACTATCTTTGCTTCTCTGGGCTGTGATCACGGATTGAGAACGCTAAGCAAATACTTTAGTGTTAGTCACAGAAAAATGGGATTTCTAACTTGCAGTGGAGAGACTGGGCTTATTTAAGAAATGATTCTTGAATAATTATGTGGCAAAGATAAAGTATTAGCTTTCTTTAGCCTGAAGCCACTCAAGATGTAACTACAATCTGAAGGGCGGAATTCCAACTTTACTTCCATACTTACTATTTGCTTCTCATTAAATTACAGTCTTCTCGTGGAGGGACACTGGACTCATTTGCTAAGAGTCATCTCTCACATGGCAGGTTATCAGAGAAAATAATCCTCCACAGTGTAAGCTATGTGACAAGAATTAGAAAATTTTTTCATTGCATAGTCCGGCACTTGGAGGGTCAAGTGTAATTGCTATTAACTATTATGAATTGTTTACTAGATATATAACCTACCCAGCTGTGCAAATTGCTAAGTATTTTCAATAGAGAGAAAAATCAATGTCTTAAGCACTTTAATTAAAATAATATTAACAATTATGTAGAGAGAGTAAAGGAGAGAAAACACATCTTTTCTTCGGACACTAGATCACAGCCAATGAGTATCATACATTAGAATGGAATCCTGGTTTTCAGAACACAGAATGTATCCATTAGCTGCAGCAACTTTGTAAATAAAATCACATTAACACAATCTAACTGGCCTTTATAAATGGTCCCGAAGAACTGCAGAAACAGAGTGAACTGAACCTTCTCGGCCACTCCTTCTCGAGTTTAACACCAGAATAAAAGCTAGCTTCCACCTAACTAGGACCTTAAATAAAATTTGTTTTTGATTCCAGTATTGCCTTATTATATATAGCATAAGTGCTACTTCAAAAGACACTAATTTTCATATTTCTGGAGTAAAAGACACTTCATTCCTTTCTTTACATATTAATAGCAAGCCTACTACTAATAGACTAGAATTGCTCCATTAGCTACCAGAATAACATAACGGATATCTCTGGGTTCACAGATGTTCTTCTCTCTTCCAAAAGGGGACTCAAGAAACAGCAAGAGAAAAGCAAACCACAAGCTCGGGTATTTGTTTTGAAGTAGAGGAAATGAGAGGAAAAATGTGTTTGTTTTTCACTAATTCCTCACGCCTACACTGGGTACTTCCTACGTGCCCTTTCTTCAGCTCTCACCGTGGGCATCTAAACAAAAATGAATTTTCTCCAAGTTTTTGGTGTGAAGCTGTAACTGGCAACATTCCTGATCATTTCCTGCCTCCTTCCAGGAAGCAGAAAAGGGCTTTTAAATGCACATAAAACAGAAAATTGCAAACAATAAAATGTGCAACTTACTGCAAACTCAGTTTTGATAACTGAAGAATTTTAAGCAGCTACCACGAGGGACAAATAGCCAGAAAAGTTCCAATGGACTCCCCGTGACTTTCCCTTTGCTGTCAGAGAAGGGCTGATAAGAACGCAAGCTGCTCCCTGCAACCTTTCATTAGCACACAATGCAGACTAAGCCCAGTCGCTGGGAAGGGACAGTTATTGTAATGGGGTGTGAAAAGAGTTCAGCAAACTAAATGACACTTTTGAGTAGAGGTAACTACTCATAATCAGTTCATTACAGTACATTAACATAAAAAAGTTTACTCACATAGGTCCACAGGTGAGACATAGTCAAATGATCTGTTCTCACCATTCAGAATAGAAATTTATGGTGATACCGAATATAACTTTGCTTTGTAACATAATTTATAATTTAGAAATTTCTCAATCTGCAAAAAAGGCAAAGCTATTAAAAATAAATCTTCTAATCAATTATGATTTTAAAAAGAAACTAAATATATTACAAATGTATTTTTGGCCCATAAAAAGAAACTTCAATAAATATAAAATAGGGCATATAATGATTTCTTACAGTCATGTGACTTCCCCTCCGTAATCTCAGTCACATGGCACCTGCATAATGCCTGCTGATCACCATCATTCCTTTAAAAGGCAGAGAAAGAAAAGCTTTCAAAAGAAGGGACTGGTTACAAGTAGCATGGCATAAAGAGAATACATATTGGAAGTAGGAAAATACATCCCAATCTTTACCTATTGAAGAGAAATTAAGATCAAATATTCCCTGACAAATGAAGCATTATATCACATCATTAATAGATATGCTCTCTCTACTCATCTTTTAAAATATATATATGTTAAATTAGACTAGACTCAGGTATAAATAGCCAATGGTACCTCAGGGGACAGTAAAACGTCTCAGCAAAAGGAGAGGACAGATGCCTTTAAAACCTAGTTCCACCCTTTGGGGGAGGGGCGAGGGCAGGAGAGAAGGCAGGTAAAAAGAAAACTCGCATAGTCATTTCATAGTCACCAATTTACTAACCTACCCAATATGATTTTTAAGTGTAAAATCCTGGTACTTGCAGACAACTTCCCAAAACTTAAACCTAAGCACTTAAATTATTTTAAAAGTACCAAAGAGTGGGTAAAATTTATGTCTCATTTCCATAATCTGCTTTGAAACTTTAAAATGTGTATCCTTCAGATATTACATATCACTTCACCACTGGTACACTGATTCTACAAGTGTCTTCAACATTTTACAAACCTTACCAAAGAATCACTACTGTAAACATGAAAAATTCAAAAGCAAAAGACGGACCAAGAAGTTTACAGATGCCATCTTCCCACATCTACCTGACCTACCCCGCTTTCCACATCGAAATATCTCCTTTAATTACATCTCGCGAATGCGTCTGGGCAGAGGGACCTCGGATCAAATGCATGTCCTACACGGCGACATGACCAGCAGACAGTCTCTCAGCGACCCTGCAGCATCAGGCGAGCGTCTCACCACTTCCCACGGCACTGAAGGGAATTCAGCTTTAGGTTTTGGGCTAACTTAGCAGAAAGGGCTGTGCCACTCACGTGACCAGACCACCACCCTCTCTATTGAGGGAACTTCGTTAACTCAGTGGGAGAGAATGACCAACATGAGTAGGGGTGTGAGGTGTGGGGAAGAAGTCAGAGTCTTATATGCTCATTAGGAACAAAAGAGAATAACAATAGGACAGCTGCTCCGGCCCTACACAGAAACACACGTGTGGGCGCACACATACACACAGGCAGTCCAAAGACTACTCTTTTTCTTTTTAATTAAATGTGATCACGATTAGGAATGGAATCCTGGCCTCACTGGTTTTTAGCAGTTGCTGTTAAGTCAGAGTCTTGATCGGCCTCCACACACCATTTGCTATGTCTTACACACGGGGACTCGATGAATGGGACCATTCTATCTAGAACCACCTATGTAAAGACCTGGTAATAAAATGGAAAGCATTGATCTGAATACTAGGAAATAGTAAAGGGCACTGGTAATCTGAGGTATCTTCCACTTCTAGGACTTGCTGCTGAGTCAATTCTATCCAGTCACTGTGCTGAGCCACTAAGGGAACCACGGGGGGAGTGAACCTGCCAGGAGGGAATGAGCACCAGTGCGAAGGAGCACGCGTGAACACTGCAGCACGGTCCACCGCAGGGGAACTTGTCTAACCGGAAAAGGGAGTTCCCCCCGCCCCCATCTGTTATTTTTAAAATCTTCTTTAGGAAAAGGGGAAGGGGTGATAAAAGAGGAAACAAAGATAGAAAACACCAGGCTCCCCACCTGCCTGCAGACGCACAGACACGCTCAGTTAGGGGAGGTAAAAGGAGAAGATGCATTATTGGTACTTGTAGCTGTGGCACCTGTTACTGTGAAGCCTGTAGGAGGCGCTATAGAGCTGTGGCTGGGCTGCAGGTCCTTGGGAATGCCACTGTGAGAACTCAGCTGGTGGCCGAAGGCTGCGCTGAACTGAGGGAGCTGCTGCTTGGGAGAGGTGGAGGCCATTAGCTCAGCGGAGGGCCCCATGCCACTGAAGCTGGTCTGCGGCAGCCCCGGAAGCACGCTGGAGCTGCTGGGGGTCGCGGTGGCGAAGGCAGGCTGTGTGGTCTCTGAGTTCGAAGTGGTGGGTGGCGTGGACAGGGAAGTGGAAAGAAGATGTCCATCTGCGTCGAGAAGGTTGCTAAATGGAGAGTGATCCCCAAGGTTGACAGGGAGATTGCCCCAGTGAGTTCTGGGGTTCACGACTCCTCCAAGTGGCACCTCAAGTTGGGTTGGGAGCAAGTGCTGTGCCATGATGGGCATCTCTGCTGAAAAGGTAGCTGCCATATTATCACCAGAGAAAGATGTTGTGTGGGGAGAGGTGATATGGTCACTGTAGGGAGACGGCACGTGCTCACTGTCATAATGGCTTCCGTGGGGCGAGGAGTGTGAATGATCACTGCTGTATTGCTGTCGTGAGGTGATTAGGTCATCTGCCTTGCTCAGCAGCTGGGCAGGGTGTGGCCTCTGGGAGGCATGGCTGCCGTCGTGAAGTCCATGAAACTGTCCTGGGAAGGCTCTCTCCCCAAGTGCACTCTGGCTGATCAGAGTGGCAGAAGTAAGGCCAACGCTGGCTGGGGCAGAGAACTGCCCCTGGATCTGCCCTGCCAGGGGTGTAGGTGGGTTAGACAAGGTAGCAGAGCGGAGCAGGTTCTCATCCAGCTCTAGACTAGAAAAATTATCATGGACTATGCGCCCATTCAACAGCTCCCCCAGGTCCGTGTTCACTTCTCGGCTCAAGGACTGAATTCCTGGCGCTCCAGTACCCGCGGCGAACACCCCTATTCCTCTATCCGACAACTCCTGGCCTGGCACACCGTCTGGCTGGGTGAGCACCCCAATGGTACTCAGGCACTCGAGAGAAGTTACAGCCTGCAAGGCCCGTTCAAGCTCCTCGGCCTCTTCGGTCGTTGGGAGGAGGTCTCCATTCTTTCCTAAGCAAACAAAAGTCATGGTGCATCAGCAGAGCTTTCACAGGTCCCACACTCCAAACACCATCCATCTGAATGATCCCTGACAGTGGCTATCCAAGAGAGGCCCTGCTGAGAAGAGAAATTTGCAAGGACTAGGCTAGAAGGAAAAATGAAATTTCAAGCTCTCTTGGGGCTGGCAGCGCGCCTTCAGTTTATTTATAAATAAACCCTCTTATCAGAGTTAAAAAGGAGCTCTGCTGTGGACTCTTCCCGCTGGAGGGGCAGCTGTGCAAGACCAGGACAGAGAAATTCCCTGCGAGGTTTAGCACCGCACTGGGCACTCGACTCATTTCACAAGCTAACTTTTATAAGGCTTCTGCACTGCTTTCTACTACTTCCCTCTCATTCTTCCTTCTTTTTCCATTTGTAACTAATGTTTGTAATATGGAAGCTGATGGGCCTACCCTGATTTTATTATCAATATTTTTAAAAAATCTATGGTTAGAAGCTTGATTAATTCACCACAAAAATATCCAGCTTTTAACAGTGAAAGAAACAGTCGAAGAGTGTAAAAGATTCCCCATGAAAACACCAGATAATTGGTGGGATTAAGCCAGTGGTTCTGAAGCTTCTGGCCCTTTAAATACAGTTCCTCATGTTGTGACCCAACAATAAAACTATTTTTGTTGCTACTTCATAACTGTAATGTTGCTACTGTTATGAATCGTAATGTAAATATCTGATATGCAGGATGGTCTTAGGCGACCCCTGTGAAAGGGTCGTTCAACCGCCAAAGGGGTCGCAACCCACAGATTGAGAACCACTGGATTAAGCAGACTGCTTTGGAAAAGTCTATTTCAACTAAAGTACAGGGTAGAGTATTAAAATCAGAACAAGTACTAAATGCCTTCAATAAACTCAAGTTTGAAATGTCTTTGCTCAAAAGTAAACTCAAGTCTGGCCAGTGTGGCTCAGTGGTTGAGTGTATGAACCAGGTTACAGTTCAATTCCTGGTCAGGGCACATGCCCGCATCGTGGGCTCTATCCCCAGTGTGGACCATGCAGGAAGCAGCCCATCAATGATTCTCATCAATGTTTCTATCTCTCTCTCTCCTCCTCCCTTCCTATTGGACCAGAAATGTAAATGTAAACAGTATACTCATCTTTTCACATCAGTTTGTATACGCATTTTGAGTGTTTGGTACTGTGTCTCTCTCTCTCCCTCCCTTCCACTCTCTGAAATCAATAAAAACATATTTAAAATAAATTAACTCAAGTAAAATTACTTCATTTTAAAGGAGTGAAGTTTTAACATGGCTATCGAACTATCCACCTACTAAGTCTATATGGGGTTGAACAAATTGCATAATCCTTACTTTCTGAAAAGGAGAAACTGGCTTATGCAGCTTCATATTCTCTATCTACAGGGGAAGGCATTCTATGTGAGAATGAATATTTCAAACACATCTCAAAAATCTATTTCCCTTTTTACGAACTCATTTTTTTAAATATATTTTTTATTGATTTTAGAGAAGAAGGGAGGGGGGAGAGAGATAGAAAAATCAATGATGAGAGAGAATCATTGATCGGCTGCCTCCTGCACGCCCCCTACTGGGAATCAAGCCCGCAACCCAGGTACATGCCCTTGACCGGAATCAAACCTGGGACCCTTCAGTGCACAGGCTGACGCTCTATCCCCTGAGCCAAACCAGCTAGGGCTAAAACTCACTTTTCCTGACTAACAATATTGACAATACCTTCAAAAAAATCAAAATCCTGTAAGTCATCAGGCAGCCGTGGCAGGACGTCTGAGAAGTCCTCCTGGTTCAATTCCAAGTCGTGTGGAATGTCAGTGATCTCATTGGCAATGTCATCCGGCAACTCATCAGCACTCAGCTCTGGCGTGGACGGGCTCCTAGGGAAGAGGACATGGTTGCCCCACCACTCCCCTTGACCTTCACACCATGCCCCCGAGACAGGGTCCTCAAGCAAGAAATCGGGAAAACCTAACTCAAAATGCCTCCTTTCTACTTTAAAAGAAGGAAATTTGAAAGCAAACAGACCTCACCACATATAGTCACATATTTCTACAACCTTTACTCATGTATTGAGACAACCATTTCAAAATAATATTTTTTACTTCAAATTAGAATAAATTACAGTTTGGTATATCAAGTGTGCCAATACTTTTTATAGGATTTCAAGTTTGGTCAACATAATAATATTTAAAAATGAAATAAACAGATAAAACTAAAATGCTTAGCTGAAACAGAAGCCTCATTCATATGGTCAAATGCTTACCCCTGCCAAAACTAATAATGCATGAAATGTCTGATGGAATACTTCTGCTGGGACAGATACAGAATTTCTGTAGAATAGAAAAGTCTAAGAGTAGACAATTAAATCCTCAATTTCAACATCTGCTCTCTTTGTTTTAAACAAAAGCTTTATTTCAGATATATCCCAATCAGGTATTTGGTAAAAATTGTGCTGAAAACTAAAAAGTTTAGGCTGATGCACCAAATGGTGTATTGTAGCCTAGCTCCAGCACTAGAGAAGTGAGTGAACAGAGGTGTCCTGAGAACAATCAAAACCCGTGAACTCGGGCACGTCACTGACCGGATCTGAGAGGCCTCCACTGGCAGTGAGACGCTGGTGGGCATGCTGAGGTTCCCTTGGGGTACTGCAGGGGGAATGGGCTTTTGGGGTCGACGAGGTCCACGCCTTCGCTTCTTCTTGTGTTTTTTGGTAAGTGCAGGAGGCTTGGTTTTTTTCCTGGGTTTCCTCTGCTGCTGGTGCTGAACTTTCCGGGAGCTATCTCCTCTCAAGAAATTATCCTTTGAAATGAATAAAGGGGTATTTTTAATTATTTGGGGAAAATCTAACAGCTACCTAAAAAAAAATACTTGTATCTTTTAATATTTTACATAATGCCTAAATACCTAAAATTACATATAATAAACAAATGAATTAAAAGACCCATTTTTTATATAATGCAAATCAATTCAACATATACATATCATTCTCCCACATTTAAAGACATTGTGATGGGTGCTGTAGCATAAAATATTTTAAAATTTAATTTGCAGTTTCAAAGGACTTACTCTGCCATGGCAAAAACATGAATACATACATAAATACAGTAGAGAAAATTGGGTAATAGTGACATAAACACCTCTGGGAAAACAAAAGAAAAATCAATTACTTTAGTTTTGTGGGATTAAAAGACAAGTAAAATTTTTAAGTCCTTGGGGTTGAGGGGAAGACCTTTCTAGGCTAAAGAAAATAGCAGAAACCAGTCAAAAAGAACAGTAAATAATTGTGTTTGACTGGTACTTGGGGCATAATGGAGGATGAAGTACAGAAGTAAGCTATAAAGAAGTTTGATACCAGATCATGTATGACTTTGAGTGCCCTACTAAAGATTTTAAACTTATTTTATAGGCAAAGGGGAATGATTTTTGATGAGAGGAGTAGCACACATGTCCAAAGTTGGTCACAGCTTTTTGTATCGTCACTGTTTGAATTAACGTAAATGCACTGCTGGTTTTACATGTAGAGGGAAAACTATTGTGCATGTAGAAAAACACAAAGAGCAGCAGGGTATAAAATTATTATTAGTGAAGCAAAAACATTCAGTATTGAAGAACTGACCACAATTCCTTTTTTTGCAAAGCAAAATCCGAATGAGAAGGGGAAATAACTACCAAGGAGAGGAAGCTGGATTACAGTTGATGTAAGTAGAAAATACTACCTTCCACAGGTGAAATAATTCAGCTGAAAGCAAGAATGATATAGAACCCATGTCTAACAAACCTCTAAGTGGTAAGAAATGCACCGTGTAGAGCCTTTTCTTCCTTGGTGGTACATACAAAAAGTGGTTTTTACAACCAATGTCACCTTTCCTTGGATGAGTTCAGCAATAACACAACTAAATAAATAAAGAATAGACAATAGTATTGAAAGAATAGTAACTGCGTTGGCTGGTGTGGCTCAGTATGTTGAGCAGCGTCCCGAGCACCAAAAGATCATGGGCTCTGTTCTCAATCAGGGACCCCTGAAACTGTAGCGTGCTTACAGTGGGCAAGAACTGTTCCCTCAGCATTGTAGTACACCTACTTTAACAATACCTTGCACATAGCAGAAGAACTCATTAAGTGTCTGATGGGTGAAAACAATAAAAGTGCATGTATTTGAAATGATTGCATAATCAGATAGGTCACTAATTCAGACTCATCTTTCCTCTAAACTATTCTTAATTAATTAAGACTTGTAACACTAACATTAACAAAAATAATGATTGTTCAATACAAACACAGCAAGGTTTGGCTTTTGGCCAAAATTTTAACAAATAGCCAAAACATTCAGAGAACTGTATCTAAAACAACAAAAACCTAGAGAAATAGGGCAAAAAGGAGCATGGGAAATCTGCTAGGTATAAGAAAATATAACTTAAGGAGAAGAGAGGTATAGAATAGGGAAGATAGTAAATAAAATACCCGTATTTAAGAAACTGGTAAAACGTTGTTGTTGTTTATAAAGGAGGGTATGAAATTAATTCAATGAGTCCAGACCAGTAATGTATTTTTTAGTAAAATAGAACAGCCTAGCAAATATTAGGTACTAAAAGTATTGTAATAAGTTTTCATAAAACTTATTTCAGTGATTCATATACATAGTTTGTACTAAGTCACAAAATACTTCCTTTTATGGAAAGCTATCATAAGTTTGAAAGCCTCCGCTGCAGAAAATAAAATCTGGACTTACCATTTTTTTGGCATGTTCTTCACACAGAGGTGTCTGGTGTGTGATGTCAAAAACAGGCACAGAGCACTGCTGTCCATCTGCAAACTTGGCCGTGCAGCTTGAGAAGAGCTGCTGAGCGCGGTTCAAGAGGATGTCTGGGGGTTTTTTAAGTTAGGAATCAAACACACTGCAACTCTACTTAACTTTTCAATTTTTATGTAAAATTTTCTTCTTTCCTCACTTGTGCTTAGTAAGTATAAATTTTATTATTTATAAAAGCTAAAGAACCAACCCAACTCCTGAGATGGGAAAACAATGATAGTTTTATCATTATTTATCAGGAGATACACCTGAAGGAGTCTATTTTGCAACGGGCACCTAAATACTCGTCTCCTTTATGGTCATTCTGATTTCTGTTATTGGGGAAGCAAGGTCACTTTCTTCTTAGCATGCAACCTCCCAGAAGTTCCACTATAATGGTTAAAAATAACAATACTTTCTTATAAGGAAAACTTCCTCATATATGATACTCACCACGAAGAATAAAAACATCTGAAATTAATACAAAATATTTAATATATACTGTTATTGAAAAAATAAATAATACAACATAATTAGTTAGCTATAGATATAATTCTAAAAAAAATCTCATCTACCCAAATTTGGATTTTTCACCTCATCTTTCCAACACTAAACTCAAACTTACAACTTAAGAAAAACTTTTAAATCAAAACTGTACTACTAAAATTGGAACATCAGCTCTACAGCACCAACATTTTTTATTAATTTTTTTAAAAATATATTTTATTGATTTTTTACAGAGAGGAAGGGCGAGGGATATAGAGTTAGAAACACCGATGAAAGAGAAACATCGATCAGTTGCCTCCTGCACACCCCACACAGGGGATATGCCCGCAACCCAGGTACATGTCCCTGACTGGGTGGTACTAAATCAAACCTGGGACCTTTCAGTCCGCAGGCTGATTGTCTATCCACTGAGCCAAACCAGTCAGGGCCAACATTTTTAAGAATCCATACTTTTAGCCACTAACTACATTTCCCCGAAATTTAGTTTATATCTATTAAGAAAGTATCTTATTTCCCTTATGCTTTTATAGTTAAGACTCTTCATAAGCCTTTACTGCACAGAAACTGCTGCTTAAAAAGTTGTGAAAATACAACCCCAAGAATAGAAAGGAGGGCAAAAGTCAGGCAGTACATTAAGTAACTGTTACCATATAAATTTTTTAAGTGCTACTCTTTTTAAATGTTTAATAAAAGTGAGAGCAATAAGATTTCATAACCAGCCTGAAGCCCTTATTATAAGTTTTCTTCAAGTATTTTCTGTCTGAAGGTATTTTCTTTCTTAGTGATGTTTATATTTTATTCATTTCAAATCAGTGCTGTACTCAATACAGGTAGCAAATTAAACCCACAGCAAAAGGCACACTGTAAAACTGTATGTTTCTTAGAAGATTAAAAACAGTTTCTTAATAATATGATTTGATTGTTCCATCAATCAATGTTACAGCTACCTGTTACAAATTGTCTAGAACCATTGGAAGGATTGAAATTCTGTTAACAAAATTTAATCAAGTGACAGCCACTGGAAGAACCCGCTAGTTGCTGTCAATTTTGCTTATTGCAATGTGATTCTAGAATGAACAACTGCAATGATATAAGCAGAAAAAATTACCCAGAGGACATCATGGAAATTAGAAGTTATATAAAAATTATTTTAAATATTAAATAGAGATGATTACAAAAGTCATTCACTTGGCTTAAGAAACACTCAGCCCTAGCCAGTTTGGTTCAGTGGATAGAGTGTCGGCCTTCAGACTGAAGGGTCCCAGGTTCCGTTCTGGTCAAGGGCACATGCCTGGGTTGCAGGCTCGATCCCCAGGAGGGGATGTGTAGGAGGAGCTGATCAATGATTCCCTCTCATCACTGATGTTTCTATCTCTCTCTCCCTCTCCCTTCCTCTCTGAAATCAATAATATATTAAAAAAAAAGAAAAGAAAAAGAATGAAACACTCAGCCCTGAATGAGTCAAGACTTGAATGCACACTCAATTTAATTTGTAGGATACGTTGGAAACAATGTCTGGTGAATGGAAGGGCCTTGTTAGTGCACTGTTCACCCTTCACCATGCCACTGCATGCTGCTGGTTCCACCTCCTTCAACTTGGTCCGGCTTATGCTAAGGAAGGGAAAAAAAATTAATTTTTAAAAAATGCTTTAAGAATGCAGGAAAATTTTTCAACACTGTTACTATAAAGTAATACCAACATTTTACCTCTTTACATTCACTAAATAAATGTAAGTATGGGTTACAATGACCAGTTCCACAGTTTCCCTAATCTACTAACAAAAGAAAAAATCAGTTTTAACTATGCCTATCTGTTTTCTTCTTATTAAAGTGATATTTTGATTCCTTTTACTTCACAAAGAAGACTGTAGAGAAAAGTGATGAAGAACATGAGACTAGATGAATCAGACCTGGTTCTGAACATCAGCTCTCCCTCTTACTAGCTGGGTGACTGTGGCAAGTTACTTAGCTTACTTAAGTCTCAACTGCCTCACCTGTAAAGTAGAGATGAGAAAAGATAACACATCTAAAATACCATCAAATACAGTATGATACCTAATAAGCAGTCAAGCCTACTATCTGGAGACAACCACTACTAATATTTAGATATAAATTCCTAAAATGTTACATACTATATATATTCAAGGTTATCTGAAAATGTAATAACTAAAAAGTGTGAAATAATACTCAATACAGAACGAAGCCTTCTAAATGTGAAAATTATTTTGCTAGTTAAATAAGATGTTTTCATCAATAAAATATTATATAAACATTATAAATCATATTTTCAAAAACAATCTAAGGACATTGGAAATGGCTACATTTTTAAGGGGGAAAATGGACACATAATTCTTAAGACAATATAGATCTAATTTTGCTTAATTACATACATAAAAATGAAAAAAATGTAAAGACTGACATTCATATTATGAAATCATTAAAAGTCATGTTTTAAAGTAAAAAGGAGGTCATAATTCAGTGTTACGTGGAAAAAAAGCAAAGAATAAAATACATATAGCATGATCTCAATTTTGCCTTTTAATACAAATAATACATGGCTCACTGGAGATTCACACACACACACACACACACACACACAGAGAGAGAGAGAGAGAGAGAGAGAGAGACTAGAAGGAAATAGAATAAAAATGTTCATTGTGCTCGTTCTGTTTTGTGAATGATGATATTATTATTTATGGAGATTCCCCGCTTAAAAATATTTATTTTATTTTTAAATATATTTTTACTGATTTCAGAGAGGAAGGAAGAGGGAGAGAGATAGAAACATCAATGATGCGAGAGAATCATTGACTGGTTGCCTCCTGTATGGCCACGACTGGGGATTGAGCCCACAAACCAGATATGTGCCCTGACCTGGAATCTAACTGGTGACCCCTTGGTTCATGGGTTGACACTCAACCAACTGAGTCACACTGGCCAGGCACTGCCCTTTTTATATATTTTTCACAGTAACACAAGTATCTGCACTATAAACAGTGACTCCCCCGCCAAGACATCCAGTGTTAATAAAATATTTAAACATACAATGTAGATATTAACAGAAACACATTCCAAATAAAAAATTTTTTAAAATAAAAAATGTAAAATGCCACTTTCATAGTAAAAACTATGAATATTACTTTTAAATAACATACAAATTTTCTAGGCATTGTATTTTTTTTAAAGATAGGTAACATTCTCTTATCCTTTACTGAATAAATTCTAATCAAACTCTAGAAAAATACAGTAATGGTTTAATTTTTTTTTTAATTCTCACAGGAGAGCATGCTTAGAGAGAGGAAGGGGGAGAGAGAGGAAGAGAGAGACAGAAAGAGACAGACAGGCATCAAAGTGAGAGAGACATCGATCAGCTACCTTCTGGTCTTTGCCCTGACAGGGTTCGATTGAACCTACAACCCCCAGCTGGGCAGTAATGCTTTAATTTTAATGTCGGCTCATGCAGTATTATTTTGCCATCCATGTAAAACCTTATTTGAGCAACAAAACCAAAATACAATGCATAAATATTTCAGACTTAAGTGCCCACAGCCCATCGTGTCTCAGCTATCTTCTCACAAAGTACAAAAAAGAGAGGACAGGTTCCTTAGACGTGGGCGCTGCGCACGGCTCTGACCTGGTTCGGTGGCACGCAGCTCTCTGCAGTTCTTGGATTAACTGGCCAGCACACTCTGGTTCCTGACTGGCCGCCTGCAGCAAGGCTTTCCTAAACGTGTGCCGGCATTTCTTTTGACGGGATTCTGCCCGCTCCAGGCGGCAGAGGTGCTTATATTTCTGCTGAAAGTAAGTGCAAAGTTGGGTCACCCTGGAGCTCCTACTCTCCGTGTCATCGTCATCTGACCTGGAAGGTGCAAAGAGAGAAGTGAAAACTTGATTGCCTGTGAGGCTCCTTTTAGAAAAGGGAAACTCAGGGAGGAAGGGTAGCTGGATGCACAGGGTTAAAATCTGTGCCATGTGAACACATACTTAACAAAATTAGTGGAAGAGAATTCCAGCAGAGCTGAAAATAAGCACAATATTTCAACAATAAGGCAGGCAACAGAGGCAACCCAATGCTTTAAGCTTAACCTTCTCAGCGTATCAGAATTAGACAGTGCTCTGAATCTTCTAAACTCTTAGGAAGAATATATTACTAACCTTTACTTAATAAAAAGTCTCAGTAAGTGACATGACAGCTATGAGGAAATAGCATAATTTCGTAAGATAGGTCATACCAGAAATAGAGCCGTGAATTCTAACAGCACATTATCAAAGAGCTGCCCCTTTAGACACACTGGCTTTTCTTGCTAAACACACAAAAAAATTTATTGTAGCGATCACAATCATTCTACAGAATTTTTTTTAACCACAGGAGATATCCTACGCATTTCATACACCAGGTTTTCTTCTGTCTTTATGCTAATGTCACTGATTGGGAGCACTGCATTGAAAAGGATGCTAAGGGCACATCCAGACTCCATGAGAAAGAGTGGTCAGTCGGCAATGTCCACTACCCACCAGGTTAGAAAAGGCACCTTTCTATCTCAATTTTTACTGTTAGAAATAAGGCACACTAGGCTTGAAAATGGACCATGTTAATTATTTTCTCTTCAACTGTAACATAAATAAATAGCACCCATGTGACCCTATAAACAAAATGCTATCTTACTCATCTTCTGTAAATCATTGCTTGGTTTCTCTTCTCGAGCGGCATCCCTCCCTTTTCCTTCAGAATAGCCCATTAACAGGCTGTCGGCCAAATTCCATTTAGTGTATGTCCTAAGAAACATGTTCCCTTCAGTGTACACTCTCTACAGGTATACCAATTGAAGGCTTTTACTTCAACCTTTTCATTTATTCAACATTCAACAGTTACTGTATGTCTACTACGCTAAGTACCATAGAGGAGAAGCAAAACATTGTGGAGTTTGCAATGTAATTTAGACAAGATAAATGCATCCCAAAAGTTAAACAATTCAAGAGGATAGACTCAGTACCTGAAACTGTGGGGCAGTCAGACCAATGATTCAAACATCTGACCTCAAATTTGAAAAGTCTAACTGCTCTTTAAAATGTCAGATTCCCAAGACCTTCCTGAGACCTAAACCAGAGTTTCCATGGGATGGGGCCCAGGAATCTTATTATGAACTAGAGGCCCGATGCATGAAAATTCATGCACTGGAGGGGGATCCCTCAGCCCGGCCTGCCCCCCCTTCACAGTCTGGGAGCCCTCAGGGGTGGGAGGTGACCCAGCCATCAGGGGAAGGTGACGGCCCCATCACACCTCTGCTGCTGCCACTGCCGGCAGCACAAGCCTCAGCCAGCCCTGGTTACCTGAGCCTTGGGCGGCCCTGGCGGCTGGGGGACTCTAGAAGCAGGCGCGTGGCAGGGCTAAGGGGACTGGGCACCGCCATCTTTGGGGGCGGGGCAGTCAATTAGCATATTCCCTCCTATTGGCTGTGGGTGCCACCATCTTTGAGGGCGAGACAGTCAATTAGCATATTCCCTCCTTATTGGCTGTGGGCGTCACCATCTTTTGCAATGGTGTGAGGGTCAATTAGCATATCCCTCTTTATTAGATAGATTGTTGCCCCAAGTCCCACAGCAAGTGTCAATTTGGGAGTTGTATCAGAGCCCTAAGGGCTGTATCTTTAATGCAAAGTCACAACAGTAAGTAACATGAGAGGCATAGATAAAGTGCTATTAGTGTTCACTAGAAGGTTTGCTGGATAAAAGAAAGGCTTTGCAGAGATGACAACAGAACCGAAGCTTGAAGAAAAGGCAGAATTTGAAGATAAGACACAAAAGGTACCTCACAAGGATAAAACAATATAGGCCAAGATACAGAGATGGACAGGATGGAGAACAGCAAATAGCTTGGTTTGGCTAACGTGTGCGGTTTGTAGGAGAGTGATGGTAGGTAAGGTAAACTTTCTACACCTGAACACCAGATTAAAGAGTTGAACCTTTTCTTCCAAGGCAGTGAAGAACCATGTAGATCTTTAAGAAAATAGGTCACAGTAAGAGCTGTGCATGAGCAGGATTACACCATCAGCAGATGTGAGTGGAGGAACAGACAGAAGAGAACAGTGAGGAAATTGTTATAAAACTCCAGGTAAGAGATAACAGGGGGCCACACCATAGTGGCAACAGCAGAACTGGAGAGGATGAGGGGTAACAACGGGGCAAGGTTAAATGGAAGGGACAATAATCACTCAGCAGTTTCCACCAGCAATGACCAGGGAATAGGAGCAAGAGCAGATTTGGTGCAAAAAATAAATTCAGTTTCAGACCCAGCGAATTTCAAGTAGAGCTGAGGTATGAGAGGGAGCAGTGGCAAAACCGTTGGAAATGATAAACTGGAGCGCACTTAGGGATGAGATACAGATTTCAGAGTCAACAACTGACAACTGAAAGGCATGGGAGTGACTAAAGGAAAAAGCCAGAGATAACAGAACGAAAAAGACATATAAGGGCCATTATCATCAAAGAACTAACTCAATTTGGTGACTGGATATGAAGGATAAGAAAGTCACTAAGGACTCAGTGACTTTGAATCTGTGTAACTAGGAGGATGGATGTGCCATTAATAGAAAAAGAAAAGAGAGGAGAAACAGCAAGTCCTAGAGAAAGTAAAGCCAGTGGGTAAGCACTTGCCAAAACTGTTGTTTGAAAAGACTATTACTGCAGGGAGGACTGGCCTAGATCAGTGGTTCTTAGGTGGTGGCGGAAAGATGCACCGGCTGCCACATCTTCACAGAAGTGTTCAGAGCTTACTCATAATTCCCACACTGCCCTTGCTGTGGACCAGTAACAAGTTTGCAGACCAGAGTAGGTCCACAGATCATCCCTAACATGCTCCTAAACTAGAAAATCTCCAACTTGCTTCCCACTTCTAAGATGCTATGACATTAATATCACACACTTGGGTTTGCTAATAAAGAGTAGCAAACTGGGAAGGGGAGGGCCAGTTCCCATCATTTACCAGCAGTGGAAAGGCCTGGCCCCTAGAGGATTCTCAAGGTGTGCTACTTTCCTTCCTTCAAGGAAATGAGAGAGATAGCTGGCTGGCTTGCCTATCCCTGAGGTTAAAAGGATGAAAAGAAATGACATATGTAAGATCTCAATGTAAGTACAGGCATTACAATTATTTAAATGCTAATAACTCCAAATACAGAGCAGTAAATTCCAAACCTGGTTTCCTAAGACTTCCGGCTTATCTATAATCTCAAGGCATGGCATGAAATTCCCCAAGTAAAATCCTTTTTACTTTACTTTTTTAAAAACAACAAAAGAGCAAAAAGGTAACATCTGATAAAAATAGGGGAGTCAAAAAAAAGGCACTACATATTGAGGAAAATAATGAGTTTAATTTTAGAAATACTGAATTTGGGGTATGGCAGAATATTTAATAAGAAATATCTGATCAGCAGTTCTAACTCAAAAGAAAGGTCAGACCTGAGAAAAAAATCTGGGAGTTGTTCACATACAGGTAACAGTTGAAACAAAAAAAGGAGTAAAAGACTTACGGCAATATGGCAACTGAGATATTCTAAGGGACCCAAAGCAACTACATACAGGATAAGACAGGCTTTATGGATGCATATTTGGTCTCAAAGGAAGTAGACGAAATCTCTTTCTGAACTGCCTGGTCAAAAAAACAAACCTGAAGACAGCAATAGAAACTTTCTAAAATGAAACAGAGAGAGGAAAAAATACTGGGGGAGAATGAGCAGGACATCAGTAAGTTAGGGATAATTTCCAGGAGCCTAAAATATGTGTAACTAGAGTTTCTCAAATAAAAGGGGGAAGAAAAATAATTGAAGAAAACTTGGCCAAAATTTTTCCAAATCTGATAAGACTTCTAAAACTACAGATCCAAAAGCTCAGTCGTACTTCTATCTGAAAGAATTGCTAATGGTAAGGAAACAGTTTTGAATGACATCTAAAATGGAACATCAGGCCGAAACCGGTTTGGCTCAGTGGATGGAGCGTCGGCCTGCGGACTGAGGGGTCCCAGGTTCGATTCCGGTCAGGGGCATGTGCCTGGGTTGAGGGCACTTCCCCAGTGGGAGATGTGCAGGAGGCAGCTGATGGATGTTTCTCTTTCATCGATGCTTCTAGCTCTCTATCTCTCTCCCTTCCTCTCTGTAAAAAATCAATAAAATATATTTAAAAAAAAAATAAAATGGAACATCAGGAGAGGGAGAGGAAACACAGCATTTTCCAACAGTGTGTAGGCGATAGGGAGGGCAAGGACAAATAAGTGGGAAATAAGTCCCAGGGCTGCAAAGGGATGCCTCAGACTCTAGGTTAAGGACACTGACCATTAATAAACCTAATGAACTCTCTTTGCTCTAATTCCATGCCCAAGTAAGCGTCTGATTGCATTTTGCTTCTCATGTAGTTCTGCTTAGAGAACATCTGTACTACTTACAGATTATATGTCTCACTGTAAACTGGTTATTTTGGTTTAGACGTCAGTGTCTAGTGAATCAGTTCCTAAGCTTCATCTCCTCTGGGTGTACTTACAAATCACATTTTGAAGTCTATATGTATGTCCACTCAATGAAACTGCAAAATTCTACAAGTTGACCTGAGGCAAATAGCTGCTTTCCTCTCCATCTCGCTGAGTATCTAGTCAAACCACAGTACTCTTCCAAAAAAATAATTAGCTGAGCTTGTGAGTTATCCTTTGGCCTTATAAATAAGGATGTATCTCAGTACCATCACACTGCACCAGGTGAATTCCTCTGACTCTAAGGCAGTCCCCTAGAAAACAACAACACTGGCTTCCTCACTACCACTGAAGGAGCTGCGCATTAATCTACCACTTTCCAGTAAGGTAGATACCAAGAACCTTTCATGAGATTATCTTGAAAAACATGTTGGCACATTAGAAATATTCAGTGCATTAAATATTAAAGAATAGGTAAATCTTGCAGAAGACAGAGGTGACGTCAAAAACACTATTTCCAGCCTTGCCAGTGTTGCTCAGTGGTTGAGCATTGACTCAGGAACCAAGAAGTCACTGGTTAGATTCCCAGTAAAGGCACATGCCCAGGTTGCAGGCTTGATCCCCAGTAAGGGGTGCACAGGAGGCCGCTGATTGAGGTTTTTCTCTCAATGTTTCTATCTCTCCCTCTCAAAAAAAAAGTAAATAAAAACTTTCTTTTTTTAAAGCACTATTTCCAGATACTATGGGGATAGGGCCAACAAAGATAAGGAGAAGTCAAAGAATGGGACTTCCAAGTAGCCTTGAGACCACAGGCAAGTTCCTTAACCTAGCTGGGTCCTGATTTCCTCTTCTGTAAAATGAGGAAAGGAGCTCAAATAATCACTAAGGTCCCTTTCAATTCAAAATTCTATTACAATTATTTCCCTCAGTGATAACTGGGAAAGGTACAGAAGTTAACTAAGAAAACTTAAGAGTAACTTTCCTCAAACAATATAGTATATTTCTTTCCAGGTAGAATCTATTTTATCTCTCTTACAATAAAACTAGACCCAATAAGTTTTTCAAAAATTGCACACATAGGAAAGAATCAATCGGCTATACTGGTAACTGAAGAATAAAAACAAAAAGGAAGACTTACGTGTGTCTTTCATATCTGAGGGTTTCTCGGATGGACCATGCAACCTGGTATGGCGAGGCCTGCTCCGAGTCCTCCAGTTCCTCTCCACTCTCTTCAGACCAGTCCAACCCTGGACAGGAAAGATTATTGCAAGTGAGAAAAAATTTACTTTTATTTAAAATTTAGATAAAAAGAAACCTGAAATATGTGACCTAACATCAATAGCAAGTGCCTCCTGGTGAGTGTCATCACTACCTGACAAAGACATTAATAATGAATGTATGACATACATTCGGGCCTAAAATAATGACGTTATTGCAAAAAGGCTATAGTCCAAGGATGGACTTTTTTTGTTTTTGTGTTTTTTTCCCCCCCAATTTGTTTACATTCAATATTATTTTGTATTAGTTTCAGGTGTTTAGCATAGCGGTTAGATAATCATATACTTTACAAAGTGTTTCCCTCAATATTTCCTGTACCCACATGACACCATACATTATTATTAATTACATTATTAGCTATATTCCCTATGCTGTATTTATATCCCTGTGACTATTCTGTAACTACCAATTTGTATTTAATTCCTTCACCTAGTCCTCCAACCGCCCTCCCCTCTGCCTACCATCAGTCTCTTGTCTGTGTTTATGAGTCTGTTTCAATTTTGTTCTTTAGATCCCACCTCTAAGTGAAATCATATGGTATTTGTCTTTCTCTGGCTGACTTATTTCACTTAGCATAATAACCTATAAGTCTACCCATACTGTTAGATTTCATTATTTTTTACGGATGAACTTCTTTTATCAGACATTTCACAAATGGAGCAGAAACAACACAAGCAAAGAAAGTTCAAGTAAAAAAAAAGGGTAGACTTTCATAAGTAACAAAATATTATACACCTAAAATGTTAGAGAAGGAAAAGATATTCAAAACGGTGAGAAAAGAAGTTCAGGCAAGAACAAAGTCAAAAGGTGCCAGTGAAGTCACTCTGACGTCAACAAGGACCCTAGAAAGATTGTCAAAGGTAAAGACATTCCATCCCCTTCCCAACACGAGTGGAGGAAAGGATTCATCCAGCAGGCGGGGCCGTTCCCTGGCTCCTGCCTTCCATAGGAAGAGGAAAGAGGAGGGTGGCTTGGGTTTTTTTGAATTTTTTAAACAACAGCCGCCCTTTTAGTGTTCTATTTTGAAAAACAAATTTATAGGGAAAAGTATAGAAATATAGTATGAAAAATGCTTACTTATTTTATTAAATGCTATTGTTTTTAATGATTGGATAATTGTTAGCTTCCAACAGAATGGTTTTACTTGTTTAAAAGTTGTATAAATATTGACAATGATGAGCCTAAAATATGCCAGCATGTGAGACTACATTACTTTAATATACTCATGCTGCTGTTAAACTTTAATTAGATGACCAGTATTCTACATCCTCCTTCTTGAGACCGTCAAAAATCATTAAAGTTATAGTTAAAAGGACTTCACAGATTTCTTCCATAATTTAAATCTTTTTTAAAAATTGATTTAGAGAGAGAAAGATGAAGGGAGGAGAGAGAAAATATAGATCGGCTGCCTCCTGCACACCCACTACTGGGGTTTGAGTGTGCAACCCAGGAATGTGCCTTGACCAGGAATTGAATCAGCAATCCTTAGGTGCATAGGACCACACTCAGTCAACTGAGCCACACCAGTCAGGGCTTCTTACATAATTTAAATAAGTTTACATGTGATAAGTAGAGAAATTAAGATAAAGTTAACAGAAATGCAAACTTTAAATCAGTGGTTCTCAACCTTCCTAATGCCGCAACCCTTTAATACAGTTCCTCATGTTGTGGTGACCCCCAACCATAAAATTATTTTCGTTGCTACTTCATAACTGTAATTTTGCTACTGTTATGAATCGTAATGTAAATATCTGATATGCAGGATGTATTTTCATTGTTACAAATTGAACATAA